TTAATTTATTTAATTTATTTAATTTATTTAATTTATTTAATTTATTTAATTTATTTAATTTATTTAATTTATTTAATCTATTTAATTTATTTAATCTGCTTAACCTTTTTTCTTATAGTTCCAAGGAGTATATTATACTTTAAAATATATTTACAGAATCTAGTATAAAAAATATAGAATCTAATATTAAATAAATTAATAAAATATATTATTTTTTATACTGTCTAAAATAATAATTATAATAATAAAAAAATTAAAAAAACCGGGTTTCTATTTCTATTTAAATATATATAATATTTAAAAACTTAGATAAAGCTAGTTTTTCTGTTTCTAATAATAATTTATTTTCTGAATTATTTTTAAGATTATCTATATTCTTATTCTTTATTAATATAAAAAATAGTAATTATTTTATTTTTTTCTTGCTTCTTAGATGTAAAGATAACTAAATCTAGATTAAAATTATAAAAAATATTCTAATACTTCTTACTAATAATAAAATAATTAGTATGTATCTAAAATATTACTACTTTAATTATATTAAAATAAAAATAGTTCTAATAATAATAACAGATATCTTAAAAACCATTAAATAGATATTTAATACTAATACTATTAATAATAACTAAAAAAAATCTCTAATTATCTAATAAAAAATAGAAAACTGATTATAGTAGGATTTTTAGTAAATAAAAATATTAGTATATTTTATAATATTTAGAATAATATTAGTTTAATTAAAAATATTTTAATAAGCTATATATTATAAATATTTAAATATATTCTAAATTTTTTAAATATCTCGGCTGCCGGTAAGAGTTTCTGATATTTAAAAATATTATAAAAAGCTTTATCTAGATCTGATAATAATCCGAAAATAGTTAATAATATATTAATAGTTAGATTCTAACTATAATAAAAATAAAACAAATAGTTTGGTATTTAAAATATTAATTAATATTATTATCCAGCCAGATATTCTTCTTAAACTTTTTAAGCTTTAATATCGGGTTTAAAATAATTATAATTATATAGATATAGCCTTCTATCTGATAAATATAATAATAATATTTTTAAAGCTTTTAATATATATTTTATAAGTTTTTAAAAATCTTTTTTTTAAAATATCTGCTTTCTTACTAGTCGGTTAATTAAGTAATCTAAATAATTAAAAAATTATTATAAATTTTATAAATCTTATAAATAGTAGGCCTACTATTCTTAGATAAATATAATATAAAAAAAAGAGATATAAAAGCTTAAAAAGATACTTTATTTATTTTTATTTAATTATAATAAAATAAAAATAATTAATATTATTATGATTATAGTATTAAATAAAACTGTTAATTACTTAATAAAAATTAAATATCTAGTAGATTATAAGATAAATTAAGTTTTAGTAAGTTTTAGAGTTAAAAAAAAATAAACTAAATCTAATTTAAACTATTAAATAAACTGGAACTTTTTATAATATTAAAAACTTATATTTACAAATTATATAATCTTCTAAATTTATAATTAAAAATTAGTATTATTAGCTAATATTAAAAGAAAATCTTTAAAACTTATTGATAAAAAACTAATTTAAATAATCTTTTTTTATAGTAGAAGCTTTTTATATTTGTTTTTTATAAATAACTCCTAGAATATATCTTTTTGAAAATTCTTAAAATATTAGAAGAGGCTTTAAAACTTTTATTATAATTCTTTTATATATATTTAATAGTAGTATTTAAAATCTTAATCTAAAGTTTTTGTAAAAAAATATTAACTATAAACTAAATTATATAAGTAAGATAGAATATATAATACTAGCTTTAAATAATTATTATAAAATCAGAATTAAATATATTATTATAAAGCTAAATACTTTAGCTAAATTAAGTCCGAAGTTTAGATAAGATTATACTAAATATTAAACAGATTATATTTATATAAAATTAATAAAATAATTATAGCCAGATTCTTACTAGTATAAAATCTAGATACCAGTCGGAAGTCTAGTAGAACTTTATAATAATTTATATCTTTTATTAAAAAATATCTAGTTAAAGTAAAAAATATTTCATAATTAGAATTAGTCTAGTAGTTTATTATAATTAATATCTGTCTAATATCTAAAAACTTTAATAACAGCTATATATTTATATTTTTTAATAATTCTAAAGAATATTCTTTAATCTGTACTTAATTAAAAAAACTTAATTTTTAATAGAAAAATAAAGCTATAAGATTAATTATCTGTTTAAATTAAATATATTCAACAGTCCAGAATAGTAAGTAATAAATAATTATAAAGTATAAAATTTAATTCTAAAAATTCTATTTATTATAGACTATAGAAACCTAAAAAAAATAATAATTTAAAAAAATATATATTAAAAAAATAAATAAATATCTGTAATAGCTTTTTATTTAGTATTTAAGTAATTATTTATTTAGATATTATTAATAGTATTTTTTTTTATAATTCTTGCGAAGATAATAGCTTATAAAACTAGTTTCTAAAATTTTAATTTCCGGATATTATAGAATATAAAGACAGATAATATAATAAATATAAAAAATTCTATTTAAAAATAATATATTTTTTAAAAGCTATTTTATATTATTAATATCTTCTTCCGACTAAAATAAAATAATAGTTTTTAAACTTATATACAGGCTTCAAAAAAGATTATTTTTTACTACTAATTCTAAAAAATACAATATTTTTTTATAAGTTAGATATAAAATAATCTTTTGATTCTTTATAATACGCGTAATCTGAAGATTTCAAAAAAAATTTAACTTAAAAAGTTTATTTTAGTTTAAATATTATCATAGTTTATAAATATTTAAAAAATAAAAAAAAACTCGATAGTATTTTCTGAAAATAAACTAGATAATTATAATTAACTTATAATTCTAAGACTACTCTATAAATAATAAATATAAAAAAAAATAAAAAATTCTATAAAAGTGGTTTATTTTATTTTAAGATATATTTTTATATAAATATAATTTATTATATTTTAAATACAGCTAAAATCTTTGCCGCATCTTATTTATTTTAGTTAATTAGATTAATTAGATTAGTTAGATTATTCTAATATTTATAAAAAAAAATCTGAAAAAAATTTATATAAAATTTTTCATAAAAGATATAGTATTTGTAAGAGCTGTTTAAATAATTAAAAACTAATCTATTTAATACTAAAATATAAGAATTTTAAGTATAAGAAAAGAAAAAAAAAAGAAAAATACAGAAAGACTTTAGAATATATATTATTATTATATAAAAAAATCGATTAAACTAAATAAATAAAGTAAGATTAGTATAATCAATAGCAGGTCTTTAGAATATTTAAAGTTGTAAAAGTTAAACAGATTAAAAAAATCAACTGGATAAAAAAAATAAAAAAAATTAACTAGATTAAAAAAGTAAAAATAATAGACTGCTTTTATAATATCTAGTATTGATTAATAGTTATAAAAAAATATAGTTGCCGAGAAAGATTATATAGATAATATTATATAGATCTCTTTTTAAATTTAATTTATTATATAAATAATTCAGCTCTTTTAGATAAAAATAAAAGTATAATAAACTATCTAAGCTAAAGTAAGAAGAAGAATAATAAAATAAAAATAATATATTTATTTTTAATAATTTAATTATTAGTAAATATATAGTTTTTTTAATATTATATACTATAATTAAGATATACAGTTTAAACTAAGCTATAATTATATATTTTTATATATATTTCTTACTATAAGAATGTTATACAATACCTACCGCTACAGCAGCCTATATCTACCACTATGGCAGCCGCTTCGGGGTCGATATAGATTTATCGGGATTTTAATCCGGATGTTTATATTATTATATTATTTGTCTCTTTTTTTTGTATAATATATTGTTCTAAGATCTTTTAAAAAAAAAGATTTCTTAAGAATTAGTTTTAAAATTAATAAAAAACTACTTTTAACTATCTTACTTGTTTTATTTAATCAGTATATCTACTATATTAAGTAGTTTCTAATAATTTCTAATTTTTTTTACTTTTGGTTATCTAAGAAAAAGTAATATATTATCTAATAAATCTTTATTAGAATTATTTTAAGACACTTCGTCTATTTTTAAATTATATTATCTAATCTAAATAGATATTTAAGAAGTACAAGCCACTATTTACTAATTAAAATAATTAAAATAATTAAAAGAATAGATTTAAGTATTATAAATAGAATATAAAGATATTAAATTTTTAATAGAATTATAATAATATTATACTAGCTCGACCTTATCTTTTAAATAAAAAAAAAAAAATTAAATTTAAAAAAATCTCTATTTTCTTTCTTCGGTTAAGTTTATAATAAAGAACGAAGTAGATTTATAATTTATTATATACTTTTAAAAAAACTCTTCGAAAGTATTAAATAAAGAATTAAAAAGTTCTAGCTGCAGTTAGCTATTTAAATTCTATTTATTAATAGAAATAGTACTAATATATTAATAAAAAATCCTCGGAAGACTACTAAAATACTAAAAAATTATAAGATTATTTTATCTAATGAATTTTTTCTCTTATTTAAAATACAGCTATTTTATAGTTTAATATTATAAAACAGCTTAAACAGGCCTACTAATAAACTAATTAGAATTTAAAAAAATTTTATTTTTATCTAAATATTTTAAAATATTACTTCGAATCTAAATAAGATAATAAATATATATTAATCTTTTTTTTAAAGCTGGTACCGAAACTCAGTTAATATATTTATAAATATATATTAAAACTACCGGACTTCTAAGAAGAAATAATATTTATTACTATTTATTATTAGAATATATTAAATCAAAAGAGAAAACAAGATCTAAAAAACTAAGAATACTATTTAAATAAGATTTTTAAAAAATCCGGATTTTTATAGCCTAATAATAAGTTTTTTCCGTCTAAATCCCTTTAAAATAAAAGAAATTAAAGAAAAGAAATTCTTCGCTGTTATAAATATAATAATAAATATTATTTAGCCAACCGATACTTTTATAGAAATAAAAATAAAACCGAACCAGAACTAATAAAAAAAAATAATAGTTAAAGAAGCCTTTATATTTTTAATAAATTAGTCTAAAATAAAGACTATTATTTACTTTAATATATTTATTTATTTTAGAAATATACTTAAAACCTATATAGACTTGGATTTATATACTAAAATTAATCTTATTAACTATTAATTTATTTAGTAATTTTATCTAAATACAGCCTGTTTTACAGTCTTACTAGTTGCTGTAATTAATTATTTTATTATAGATATTTATAATATATAAAAAATTCTTATTACCGCTATTAATTTAAGAGAAACTATATAATTATTTATAAGATATTATATAGCTATTAATTATAATCCAAATCTTTCCGAAAGTCCTATTCTACTTTTAATAATTATTTTAAAAAATCTATATATTTATCTATCTATATAAAATCGACAGTAATAGTATAAAATCTAAATATTAAAGATTTTATTTTTTTATAAGTTTATAAAAACTTACTAAAATCTTATTTATATTTATACTGTTATTAAACTTTCAGAGAATATCTAATTACTAGAAAATAAAGCCTTCTCAAATTATTTATAAATTAGATTTAATAAAATTATATTATTTTTTAAGCTCTAAAATTTTATAGATATATTTTTTTCTAATTATTTTTAATAACTTTTTTTTTATAGACCCTCGGATTATACTATTAATTTAAAAGATAATAAAATTTTATTATATAAATCTATTTATTTTTTATTTTAAGTTGAGCTCTAATCCCTCTGTTATTATATTAATAAAAATATTTAATTAAAATAAATTTAATTTTTTAAAAGTCTTACAAAAACCTCTATTTTTTTTATACTAAAAAAGAATAGAGGCCTCTGATTATATATAAATTACAGAAAACTTAATAAGATTTTAGTTAAGAATTACTATTCTTTATTTTTAATTTTAAAAATTCTAGACAGAATTACAGAAGCTAAATATTTCTTTAAGCTAGATATTCAGAATATATATTATTAAATTTATATTAAATAGAAAAATAAATAAAAAACAGTTTTTTAAACCTACTATAAGTATTTTAAATATTTAGTTATACTCTTTGGATTAACTAAACCTCCGGCTATATTTTAAAACTATATCTATTTAACTTTTTATAATATATTAGACGTTTTTTATATTATTTATTTAGATAATATTCTTATTTTTTTAAAGAACTGCTCTTTTTATATTCTTTATTTATATTAAGTATTAGAATACTTACGAAAAGCAGATCTTTATATTAAGCTATTAAAGTATACTTTTTATTAAAATTATATTAAATTTCTAAAATATATTATATTTTTATATAATATATTAATGGATTCCCGACGGGTATCTAATATTTTTATATAGCTAATACCAACTATATACTGTAAGATCTAAATATTCTTAAAATTCTATAATTTTTATTAATATTTTATTAAGAATTATTTTTTAATTATATTACTACTAATTTTTCTTTTAAAAGGCACCCAGAATAGGAAGAAGTCTGAAAGAATAGTATTAACTAATAAAAAAATAATAATATTTTAACAGCTTCTTTATAATTTTAAAATTATATTTTTATTAAGATATTTTAACTCTTAATAGAAGATCCGGATAGAAATAGATATTTTTTAATAAAATATAACAGAAATACTATCCCAGCCGGATAACTATAAAATATACTATTTTATTATATTCTAGTCGAAAAAATTTAATAGTATTAAAACTTACTATTTAATCCCAGACCAAAAGCTTTTTACTATTATTTATTTATTTAAATATTAGTATTAATATTTTAAAGAATTATTATATACTATTAAAGTTTTTTTAAACTATTAAAATCTTTAGATTTTTATAAAATAGCCGAAGCTAAATAGCCGTCAGGCTTAATAATATATATATTTTAATAGTTATAATTTTATTATTTAATATTAGTTTAATAGATATAATCCTGCCGATCTGCCGTCGAGAATAAAAAAAAACTTAAAAATTTTATTTAATATAAAGATTCTAAAGTTAATATAATATTAAATAGCTAATAAATCTCTTATAAGATTATAGCTAGTCTTAAAAAAATTCTAGCTAAAGTATAATAAAATATTTTTATAAAAAAATCCTAAATTCTATACCCGCTAGTATATATTAAGTTTATTAGAATCTAAATATAATTAAACTGGTATAAAAGCAGTTGGCTAAACTGTCGGAATAAAAATATTTTATAATCTATATATTAATATATTAGTAGTATTCCGAGTATATAAATATAAAAATTTATTATATTCTAAAACTGTTGAAATAAGCTTATTTTATAATAAATATATTAGTATATCGGCAGTATTCCGAGTATATAAAAATAAAGATTTATTCTATTCTAAGATTAATAAGAAATTATATTTTCTAATTAAAAAAATCTAAAATAAAAATATAAAGATATATTATCAAAAACTTACTGTTTTAGAAAATAATTCTAGGTCTAAATATTAAAAAATTAATAAAAATAATCTTATTATATATAAATACTGCTTGTATATTTTTATAAAACAAAATCTTCGGCAATATTTATTAAGTCTTTATTATAATAATTGGCTAGCAGGCTATTTTAAATAATTAAAAATAAAAACTTTTTTTAAAAGAAAATTCTATTAGATAAATCTTTATAAAGATATAATTATTTATATTAGAAAATGCCTTATATATTAAAAAGTTATATTTACTAGATATAAACTATACAGCGAGCTTAAATTATTATTAATTTTTAGTTAATTTTTTGTTGAACTATTTATAGACTTTATTACAGGTTTATTTTCTATTATAATAAAAAATAATATTTTAGATTTAATTCTTGTTATTATAAATAGATTTATAAAATAGTATTAATTTCTATCTATTTTATATACTATAACTACTCTAGAACTTGCTAAATTCTTTTATAAAAAAATTAAACTCTAGTTTGGACTATCTTAGAATATAATCTTAGATAGAGGTTTTTTTTTTACTAGTAAATTTTAGTTCCGAGTTGCTTATTATACTTAGATTAAACTTTATTTATTAATAGTATTTCGACCCCAGACCGATAATTAAACTAAAAAAATAAATTAGACTCTTAAATAATATCTTTAATATTTTATTAATAAAAATTATCTGAACTAGTCTATTCTACTATTTTTTACTTAATTTACTTATAATAATACTTTAAATTTAACTACTAGTTATTTTTTTTTAAGATTTTTTTAGACTATTTATCTGACTTTTATCTTCGTACTAAGATTAGTATTTTCTAAAAAAAGATTTCTACAGCTAAAAATTAAATTAATAAGCTAGCTATATTATAAAAAAACCTATAAAATTACTAGCGAAAAGCTAATAAAACAATAAAAAAATATTATAATAAAAAATACCAGCTAATAATTTTTAAAAAAAAAGATCTCGTAAAGCTGTCTACTAAAAATTTAAAAATTAAGATTTTATTTTAAAAGCTAGCTTTTTAATATATTAAACTTCTAAAGATTCTAGCAGCTATTAAAAAATAAATATATTAAATTTTTCTGTCTGACTGCTTTAGTCGAATCTATAATATTTTTTATATATTATTATTAAAATAATAGAAATCTAGTACAAATTTATAAGACTAATTCTATTTTCTAGATTTTAAAAAAAAAAGAAGTTTAAGATCAAAAATATTAAAAATAAGCAGACTTTTAATAATAAATAATATTTTCTAGTTAAATAGACGGACTGGCCAAATAAATATAATAAATAAATCCCGGAAGAATCTATAGATAATATCCAGCAAGCTATTTAAAGCTATAAAAAATAAAAAAAAATTAAAACAACAAAAAATATTTTATTTTTAAATATAAAAAAAACAACCGAATCTATATTAAATTACTATATTAAATATATTTAAAAATTAATACTAAAATATATAATCAAAATAAAAATCTTTATAAATAAACCAGATTCTTATCAAAAAACTATTAGACTAATCCGGCTAATTAGTACTATTTTTACAGAAGATAAGCAGTAAAAAATTAAAACTACTTTATTTTCTAAATATAAAAATTCTAAAATAAGATTTTATTACTATATATAGTATATATCTCACGGTAAATCCTCTTAAAAAATATCTGTTTAATTCTAATTTATAAAAAAAACCTGTTATTTCTAAATATCAGGCGAAGTATAATTAGATTATCCGCAATAAAATAACAGTCTATAATAAAAAAGTAATAAAAAATTAGATTAAACTAATAAATTAGTTTATAAATTAATAAAAAGTCGATAAAAAAATATATAGTAATCTTAGACTTACTAATATTAGTTAATTTATATTTACAGTAGTAGATTAGCTTAACTATTTTAAAGCCAGTAGCCAGAGCTAGAATTAAATAACTAATCTAAATACAGAATATTAGATTCTAATCTAAATTCTAGTTAAAAATAGTATAATTAATAAAAAACTTCTGGCTCCAGTCCAGAATTTATAAAAACTTAAAAATATTTTCTAGTATATTAACTAAAGTCTAGTTCTTATTAGCCTAAAAAATCTATTAAAAAGCTGTTAAAATATATTTAATAATAAATCTGATTTCTATTAAAATACTATTTATATACTATAAATATTATAGTATTAAAAATATAGTCAGATACAAAATTTTCTGCGTTAATAATATTAAAATTCTTAATACTAGTTTTTAAGTAATATAAACAGAAAAAGATTTTGGATATAATAGGCATATCGGCTAAATAACAGCAAGTAGTTATTAATATTATATTAAAAAACAGCAGAAATAAGAATTTTAAAAAAATAAATTAATAAATAAAATATAAAATAAATAATAAAAACAAGAACAAAAACAACAAGAAAAAAAAAATATAAAAAAAAAGATTCGGTAGAGAATTAAAATATAAAAATAAATAAAAATATATTAATTTTCTTTATTTATATATATATTTTATATTGGATTCTAATCAGATTATTAATAAAACGCGTGCTTTATTTACTATTTTAGAATCTTTTATCTATAGAATATATAGTCTATTAAATAATTCTTTTACTATTACAGCGCCGAACTCTATTATTTAAAAAATATTACTAGTAGAAATATCTAATTAAAATAAATAATAAAGCTATTTGCGGCTATATTATTATATTAAATAATCCAGCTTAACAAAAAAGTATAATTATTATATAATATCTATTACTATAATAGTTTATATCTACTATTATAGCAGCTGCTTCGGGGTCGATATAGATTTATTAAAATTTTAATCTAAATACTTATATTATTATATTATTTATCTTTTTTTTTATATAATATATTATTCTGAGATCTTTTAAAGAAGAAGATTTCTTAAGAATTAGTCTTAAAATTAATAGAAGACTGCTTTTGACTATCTTGCTTGCCTTACCTAACCAGCATGTCTACTGCGTCAAGTAGTTCCTAACAAAGAACTATAATTTTATAAAAAGCTAAATTTTGTTAATATTATTAGAATTCTTGAATTAAATTTTTAAAATAGAAATAAAAAAAATATAAATACTTCTTTTAGTTATTTCTTTCTGAATTAAAAAGCTTATTTTTATATACTTTTAGATAATAGTTAAAATAGTTAAGTTAATAACTACTTAATCTAAATATATTTTAACTATATTAGAGCCTAAATAGATATAATAAATAGGTTTTAATATTAAAAATAGTTCAAATAATTAATTATTTCTTTTTTAGCTATACCGCGGTATAAAAATTTTCTTAATATGGCTATAATCTGGTGGTCAGATATAAAATTTCTAATTAACCTGACCTGACCTGGCCGTTAGCCACTCTGTTAGATTAAGATTAAGGTATAACAGTCAGGTTAATCTACTCTAATCTTAATCCAGATTCAATTATCTTTATATCTAAGAAGTAAAGAAAGAATAAAATAATTATTATCTTCTATATTAATAAAAATAAAAATATAAATGATCTTGAAAATAATCTAGAAAATAGATTATTATTAAAAATAAGAAAACTAGTTTTATTTAAGTTTTAAAATATTATATATACTTAAATAAAAATAAAAACCCGGTCTTCTTAATTTCTTTACTATTATAATTATTATTCTAAATAATATAAAAAGTAATATAATCTTATTAGTTTATCTAATATTAGATTTTATATTTTTTATACTAGATTTTATAAATGTTTTTTTAAAGTATAATATATTTCTTAAAATTATAAAAGAAGAGATCGAGCAGATCAAATAAATTAAATAAATTAAATAGATTAAATAGATTAAATAGATTAAATAGATTAAATAGATTAAATAGATTAAATAGATTAAATAGATTAAATAGATTAAATAGATTAAATAGATTAAATAGATTAAATAGATTAAATAGATTAAATAGATTAAATAAATTAAATAAATTAAGTAAATAAGCTAAATCTAGATAATATTATTATATTATAATTAAAAGTATATTATACTTTATATATTATTTATATAAAAAAATACATATATTACTAATTAATCTATAGTTATTAATTTATTTATTATATTTAATCTTTCTAAGTAGTAGATATAAATAGTTAAAATAATAATTATATTTTAATCTAACTATAACTATATAGTTAAAATCTTTTTATATCTTAATCTAACCACCAGGTTATGGTCAGGTTAAGGTTAAGGTATAACAGTCAGGTTAACCCACTCTAGCCTTAGGCACTAACTGGTGCTTCAGGCTGAGCTCTATACTAGGGCCTTAGTCCCATAACAATAATAAATCTAATATAATTGTTATAAACTAGACGCAATGCAATATTTAGATAATAATTTAGATAATCTACTAAAATATTCTGTTTATATTCATTAATACTATACTCTTTTTAAATTCAGATAAAACTATATTTTTAAAATTTAACTTTTGTCAGCTGAGATTATAAATTTTTAAAATATAACAGATAATTTAAAACTAATATTAATGCTAGACTAATATAGCGGCCGGTTAATACTTTTAAAAGATATCTAGAATAAAAGCAGTAAATTTCCAAAATAAACTTTTTAATATAGTATTTTATATCTTACTAAATATATATTCTGGTTTCTCTAGGTTGCAGTGCCATCCACCGACAGTGCCGGGTTTTATGCGGAACGATCTCGCTGTGGGAGACTGCATTCCTCGCATTTTTCAAAGGCGCTGCCCAAAGGATCAGCACTCATGATACAATCAAGGTAGGATTGTCATGACCATCGTTAGCATTTTCAGAAGGTGAAAGGTGGGTTCTAGGAAAGGGAAACAGGAAGATGAAATGAGTGACTGGGTTGACGCGAGATGAGCCCAGCAAACGGTGGGTACAGAGACGGGGGCCTTCTATGGCGTGCTGCCAATTGGGGTCCCAACTATACGAGGGCCAAACTGGGATTTTTCTGGCCCAACGAGGTCGACTGATTGAGGCTGGGCTGGCGGTGCAGGATTAATACGGTACCTCAGGGTTGTGATTACTCTGGGATTGATACGACAACCAATCAAACAATGAGGGATTGGCTGACTGCCTTGGTTTAGTCCAGGTAGTGCTTACCGTCATCGACTAGACATTCTACCTTGTTTCATCAACCAAAACAATACCACACTCATCAACACCTACCAAGCTCCACCATCAGCAATGGAGACCGTTTTTGGAAAATTCGGCTCTGAGCTCTTGGAGCGACCGGAAGTCCAAGTCCTTGCGGTCCTACTTCAGAAACCCGACATCTCTCCCATAGCGACCGTTCAACGAGGGTCCGGGGATAGTCCAGAGGATTCACGCTATTTCGATCTGCCCCGATGACGGCGCTGGGAAGATGGATTGCAGGCGCACAGCGGGAGTTCTCTCGGGAGAATACGCAGGGGCTGATCCGGACGGCATTAATGGAGCTTGGGAGGGTTCAGAGCAGGATACGCTCAGGAGGCTTTCCATAAACTAGGAGTACTCGTGTGCTGTTTTAGCTTTAAAGTCGGATATAATAGTTGTAGTCATAGACAAGCCGCAAAAAATTGCCCCCGAGGTATGTATGCCGACATACAGTCTGCATTTAGATCTGCAACTATATGACTCTCCAGGAGCTGTTCACCTCTCTTCGATCTCCCTGCCATCCACCGTAAAATGAATACAGATAAGAATAGGTTGACCTTTGTTATTGCAAGGTGGAAAGGTCATCTTACCAGAATATTTACCACGCACGATCGTGGCACTTTTATATTAGCTGGACATTATCACTGCACCAGCACACGTCAGTTTGTATTGCTGGACTGACTCTGAAGCTCGATTTGAGAAGCATGATGCTTAGCTCGAGGTTATATCAGACCGCGACGGCCTCTGATTATTTTTCTTACCTGGCTAGATTCATAAAACTGAACGGAGAACTTGAAGCTAAACAATAGCACTTTGGGGGAGGGGGGTGGGCGTGGGCGGGCAGGCGCTTGATCATTACACCGGATCCACTTACCCGTCTTCACTTAACTTTCAGTTCAGATAGGTAAGTAGACTAAGGAGATGTCTACGTGGTGCACCAAGAGCCGGTGATACTACCCTGACCATGAATGATTAGCTTATGGTTGTTAGGGCATAGAGCGAGTGAGCGGCTTACTTATACCAGCAGAAAATCCCGAATTTCCCCGGGCTCTATTGCCGTTCCAAGCCACCCTCAAGAGCCTCCGTCTCAGGGCTGTTCAGTGCACGGATAAAAGAGCACGGACAGCAGTGGATGCCGAGGGACCCTTTGCATCTTTCAGAGACTTCATCATCCTTCAGGATCTCACCCTGCTACATGTCCATCTTCTGCGCCAATCGTCGCGTCAGCTGGGTGTCACCAGTGTAATCAGCTGGTGCAGATGCTTCCCCGCTCAATACAAACGCTGGGAATCACAGATGTTATCGATGCTGAGCATGATATTTTGATCTTAAATCTTATCGCTCTAGTTGGATACTCGAGGCGTTTCTCTCAGCTGGAGCAGATTTTTATCTATGCCGATTCTAAGGAACCGGGCTTACTTGACTTGTTGAGAAGAACCTGCAAGGCTGCAAACATTGTGCTTGTAGTGCAACGTCCTGACTAGTAGGGTTTTGTCTTATGTATATTTCTCTTCATTTTCCCTTTACCATGTCCGCAGTTTATCATCAGTGTCTACGGCAACAATGGAAAATGAATACCAACCCCCACTATATTCTCTCTCCTGCGTCATCGTTGTGAGAAAATCTCGTTGAAAAATAGCTTCGAACTTAGCCGCAGTCCTGCTGCACTCGAAACGACACGGAAGCGAATTAAAAGGGACTGACTGGATCGAACAGGGAGGATTGTCTGGGCTGAAGCAAGAATATCCTCACATAATAAAAATCCGATGAGATTCCGATTACCCAATTTGATTTTGCCCAATAGAGGTTGCTGGTTCCTATCCATGCTTATCCACATTGGGAAGAGTTGAGCTGATCGCCATTCAGTTGGGGCTTGGGAGGTGGGGGGGAATGATGTCGGTGTGCATTACGCTGTGGGTCTCCTGCTCCATACATTGACAACGATTCCGAGATCTCGGGACCTCATTATGAAGAGAACCTGTAATCTGGGACGCAATCGTGAATTAAAGTGGAGTCTGCCCCCCAAGTTCTCCACATCACCGGAGACATCACCTATCGCCGTGCTGCATGCTCAGCTGCGGACGATTTGGGCAATCCACCCGGACTGCCGATCGTCTGCTCGTAGCTGAAGGCTGAGGGTGGAAGCCTGAAGCTGAACAGTGGAGAACGCCGCCTCCTTTTGTGGATGCCCCGCGTCTGCTGGATTTCGATCGATAGATTGGAGTATATAAAAGAAGGAGTAGATATTTTTGCTACCTCCCCTTCTTCTATTTTTGCTTTACATCCAACATTCTCTTTCTTCCAATATGGGTCAAACCTTTTATGCGCACCTTCCCGGCTGTCGGGAAGGAACTACTATTCGCCTGCAAAGCTTTAAGCGAGATATCGCCACGTTTTCCAGCGCCGATGAATTGATGCACTCGTCCGAAGGATGGGTAAAGCACTACTGGGAAGATGGAGGCTGGTATACTAAGGTGGTCTCGGATAAAAACCAAGCATCTCAGTTCGACGTGGAGCAGGGAGATGGTGGATTGATGTTGAAAGAAAGGAGCACAGGGCTTTACCTCTGTAAATGGGGCGAGTAAGTTATTAGTCTTCTTCTTCTTCTTCTTCTTCTTCTTCTTCTTGCGAATACGACTAAGGCTGATGTGTTCTTTCTTTCTCTTTTGTCATCAGATGGGTCCGTCTGCACGAAGACCCATGGACCATGGGATTCCAGCTTCTGGAGGTTACAAATCATGAAATCCAGGAGTCGGGCCATGATAACCATCAGCGTTGGTATGAGATCTATATCCCGCAATATCTTATGTGGCTCAACGGAGCCAATTGCTCGGTGTACCGCAATCGGTATGGCAACCTCAATGTCAAGCAGGATGGGTGGCATTCTCTTTTCCGGTTCGAACGTGTGCCTGAAGATGAGCTTGAGGATTAGTAGATTGAAAAAGATGTTCGAGCACGGGTAGGGAGTGCTTGAGCTTAGTGATTTGACCACTGGCGGACGATCGGGACCCCCTGCATGTGTGTGTATACCTGAATAAGAACAACCATTGCAACCGTCAGAAGTCAAACTGCGTTAGGTTATCGTGATCAACTCCCGCTCAGTCAAGACGCTATCAAAGCCTACGTCGTCGTCTCATACTATTATAGCGAGGCCGGCCTGCAGCGCTAGCGAGAATACCTACCCTTGGCTTCTAGAATTGATCCTTGATGGAAAGGATAGAATCTGGAATACATCAGTGACAGAAATTAATTCAAGACATGTTATTTATGACAGCTTTTTACGAAATTCTTCTGAACGGATAACCAGCTACTAGACCCAAGGGTAAAAGAAAAGATCAAGCCCCATTTTATCATGGAGGTAACTACTGTGGGAGGCATCTTCCTGATATAGAGGCAGTGGGTAATATATATATATAGATTATCCAAATATTCTAAATTTTTTATTAGTGTTTAATAATAAGGTTGGTAGCTTTAGCTAATGACTATGATTTATTTGTACTTAATATTAAAAAATTTAATATGAATCTTTAGTATTTATCTGGTGATAGAGTGGCTAACGGCCAGGTCAGGTCAGGTTATGTCATAGATAACCCCTGGAACTATGGCGGGTTGCTAACGGTCTATTTACGCATCCTCTACGTAACAGTCGTAATATTAATAACTCCGATCTTCTTTAGTATTTAACTTTCAGAATCTTACTAGATCTTCGGATAGTAAGAATTAGTTTTAAAATTAATAAACTGCTACTATTCTATACCTAACTAATCTTTTTTTTTTATAATTCTAATTCTTTTTTTTTAATTATCTATAAAATACAGTATATTACTATAATTCTTATATTCTAATAGTATTTCCGAGTCGGAAACTTTTTCTACCGCTAATAGTTTATTATTTTTACTACTAGATTCTTCGGTAAAAAATCTTACTGTAGTTCAAAATACTATTAGTTAGTTATAAGATTACTAGTAGTTAAAAAAACAAATTACTAAACTACAACAAAAAATCTAATATAATAATATTAAATTAGTACTAATTCGGCAACAAAAAACTTTTTTTTTTTTAATTAAATCTAAAATAAATATTAAAATCAAAGATATTCTGCAATTTAAACTTTTCTTTAATATTTAAAAACGCCAGAAATAGTTCTATAATTTAGATTATAATTTTTAGAAGATACTATCTAAATTTTATAATAACTATTATAAAATTCTTAAGGCTGTAAGTTATATAAGCGCGACTTATTAATAAAAATAATACTATTATTTTAAAAAATTATTACCAAAATAAAAAAAAATATTAGTTATTTATAGTTTATTTTTATTAAATAAATACTTTTTTTTATCTAAAATATTATTATTTTTAAATCTAATATAATAAGCTATTTAAAGCAAGCTTAACAGTAAAATAATTAAGATTCTTATAAATTTTATATTTATTTTAATATTTTAAAATAATATTTTTCTAAAACTATTAAAAAGAAATATAGCTATACTTTTTTTATAAAATTATTTTCTGATTTTAGTTGCTATATTAAAAAATATATATACTAACTACCTAAGAAACAAAACAAGATAATATTTTTTATTATTTATTATTAAAATCTATATATATAGAAATAAAAATATAAATAGAGACCTGACGGATCTAATATATTATAAAAATAATTATAATTTTATAAAAATACTTAATTTTTTAATTTTAAAACTAATTATTCTAATCTAGTTAGAAAAATTTTATAATATTTTTTATATAATAATACTGAGCATCTTGCTAATTAATATTTTTTAAAAAAAAAAATTAACTCGAATTTAAGAACTGTAAGCTAGAAAAAATAATATAAAAAAATAAAATAAACTAAAATTAACTTTTTTGTTTTAATTCTATATTATAAAATAGAAACAGCTGATAAAATATTAATACTAATATAAATATCTAATATTAGAAAAATCTATATAAATATTAATAGTTGTGCGGCATACGATCTGATTAATATTAAATTTATATAATAATATTTTTTTTTAAAATCTTAGAAATTCTTACTATAGTTTAAAGCTATTAATTATATCTTTATTACTAGCTATAGAATATAAAATATTTCTTTAGATATTATTAATTTAAGAAAAGTATAACAGTATTTTATTAGACTATATATTATTATTATTTAAAATATTTTAATCTTATTTTTTATAACTATTTTACTCGACTATAAAATTTATTTGTTTTTCTAAAACAAGTAATAGTAGTTTAAATTTAATTAAATCTAAAAATTAAGTTCTTAAAAATTTACTAAAGCTTACTAAAATTACGTCTGTATTTATATAATTATTAAAATTTTCGAAAAACTATAGCTTTCAGATAACAACAGAAAATTAGAATATTATTAAAATAATTCTATTCTACTAGAACTGGTTGAATTTACCGATATTTTTTTTTAATTAATCTAAAATTCTTTTTAAATATTATAATAAAAATTATATTATTAATTTTCTTAAAAATAAATTATTTTTATTTAGGCCTATTTATCTTCTTTTAGAAAAAGAACTTTTAGTACTTAAAGATTATATTAATAAAAATACTACTAATAAAAGAATATATTTATTTAAAAGCCTTATAGAGGCTTTTATTTTCTTTATATTTTAAAAAAATAAAAGTTTATAACTATACGTAGATTATTATAAATTTAATAAAATTATAATAAAAAATTAATATTTACTGTTTTTAATCTTCGAAATTCTTAACTAATTAGCTGGATATAAATATTTTAATAAAATTAATATTTAAGACGCCTATTATTATATTTATATTAAAAAAAAACAAATAAAAGACTGTATTTTATATATATTATAATTATTTTAAGTATATAATAATACTATTTGGTTTAACTAATATATTTATTTCTTTTTAAAACTATATATACTCTGTATTATATAATATTCTTAATATTATTTATATTATATATTTAAATAATATTCTTATCTTCTTGATAATAAGATACAAATATATTAAATATATTAAGAAAGTAAGTGCTAGTACGACTATAAAAAACTAATTTATATATTAAATTATTTAAATACTTTTTTTTTTAGTAATAAGTTAAATTTCTTAAATATATTATTTTCTTTATAGATATTACAATAGATTCTAACCGAGTTAAAACTATTGTTTTATAACTATTATCTACTATCTACTATAATATTTAGATCTTCTTAAGATTTTGTAACTTCTACTATAGATTTATTTATAACTTCTTTTTACTAGCACTATCTTTAATAAATTTTTAAAAAAAAAGTTAAAATAGTAAGAAACCGGAAATATATTATTTTTTTTTAGATAAAAAACTAATATTTTACTGACTTATTAATATATTTCAGACTATTTTTCTTTTTTATTTTTTTAATTTAATTTAATCTATTCGGATCAAAACTAATATTTATAATAAAAAAATAATAGATATTTTAATCCAACCGGAACTAACAGAATAATATTATATAGTTATTATTTAATTAAAAAAATTCTCGGGTGCAGAATTTAACTAAAATATTTTAAATTAAGAATTTTTTGCTATTATCTATTTTTTTAAATATTAGTATTAATATCTTGATAGGATTTAGTATTCTATTAAAGTTCTATCTAACTATATAAATCTTAAATTATTTATAAATTAATCCCGGCTTAATAAATATTAAGTATATTAATATATAATTTTAGTTTTTTTTGACTTTATAATTAAATATTAATTAAATAAAAGTAATCCTGTTAATATTCTATCTAGACTATTTAAGCTAGTAAAAAGCTTTTATAATAATAATATTATACAGATATTTTATAACTAATTAATATTTATTTTAGTAGTATCTAAGATCTCGGTAATAATTAAAATTAAAAAATCCTAGTTTAAATATAGTAAGATATTTTTATAGAAAAAATCTAGATCTAGTATTTATATAATATTAAACAGGCCTATAGATATTACCGGTATAGAATCGGCTGATTAAATTATAATTTATATAATAAACTGTAAATAATCCGCTAATATTACGGCTATAAAAAGTATAAGTAAAGCCGAAAAGATTTATAAATCTATTTATAATAATAATCTAAGAAATTTAATTAAAACTTTTTAGAATCAAGATTTTAAATTTCAGAAAAAGAAAAATAAACTATCCAAATATTAGAAAATTATAATAAATAGATTATTATATTTTAAAAATAGACTTTATATATTAGAGATAAAAGGTCTATATTAAAAGCTATTATAATAATATTATAATAATCTATTAGCAGATTACTTTAAATAAAATAGAACTAAATAACTTCTCCGTAGAAAGTTTTATTAGATTAGTTTCTAAAATAATATAAAAAATTATATAGTAATATATTCTATTTGCTAATACTAAATCCCAGCTAGATATTAATTATATAAAAAATTCGAAAGTCTACTAATTTTATTAAGATTATAAACCAAAATTATTATAAATTTTATTATAGAACTATCCGAACTATACTACCAGAGTTATTAGATAGATTTAATATTAATAATTATTAATTATTTTATAAAAATAAACTGTTTTATAATAGTATTATATATAATTCAAGTAGAAGAACTGGCCGAACTATTTTATTAAAAAATTAAACTAAAATATAAAATCTTTTATAATATAGTTATAAATAAAGACTCTATATTTATAAAATTAATTTTAGTCTAATTTTTACTATTAAACTAAGATTAAAAAATAATTATTAACTATATTTTACCCGCAAACCAACAGCTAAATAAAAAGAATTAACTAAATTCTTAAATATTATCTGTACTACTTTATAACCGAATATTAAAACTACTAAATAAACTTACTAAACAAGATAGAATTTATATATAATAATTATTTAAATATCTCTATAAAAATAATTTTTTTTAAAACTCTAATAGATTATTTTTTTAAGTTTAGACTTCGGATTAAGAACAATTCTATAAAAATAAAAATACTATTAATATTAAAAAGACTAGAAAAGTTAAATACTTTATAAAAAAAACTAAAAAAAACTAGTAAAAAACAAGCAAAAATTAATTAATTTATTATAATAATTATTACAGTACTCTATCTTTTAAGTAAAATAATAAAATAATTTATATTTTTAAATAAAAAGATTTAGTTAAGCTATCTACTATAAATATTAAATTTAAAAAAATCTTTTAAAAATTAGTATTAAAATTCGTAGGGCTTTTTAGAATTCTAAAAACTATAAAAAAATAAATATTTTATTTATATTTTTCTAATAAATATACTTGGTTATATAATATTTTTTATATTACTCTACTAGAATTTTAAAAAATTAGAAAAAATATTCCCGAAACTTTACTAATACCAGATCTAGATAATAATAAGAAATAGAAGATAAAGCAGATACTAAATAGCCTATATTATTAAAAAAACTAATTCTATTTAGTAAAATAGTAGAAATAGCTTTTTAAATATAATTAATAGTTACTAGCAGAAAATTTAGTAAATATTTAGTAAAAAATTTATAAATTTAACAATTAGATTACAGCTTTTTATTTTATAATATATAAATTAAAATTAATATACAGCAGAAATAATAATAAAATAACTATAAAATATATATAATATATATATAATTTATAATAAAGAGATATAAGTTTGTTATATTATATATTTATTTTATTTATATCTATATATATAAACTATAAAAAGAATAATATTAAGAAAAACCCGGATTATATATATTCAGCAGGATTATTAAAATTAAAAAATAACTAAATAAAAATTACCGATAGAAGATATTATTATATAAAAAATAAATATAGAATATTAATAAAACTATAAACCGTAGATAATATTAATAGAAAAAATATTTTTAATATCAGCAATATATTAGTTTTTATTATTATTTTTATTAATATAAAAATATATAATCTCGCAGATTATATTATTCAGATAGAAAATAGTTATATAATATTAAAGCAGATAGCCAGCATTGCTAAATAAAAAATAAAAATACTTGTATAAGTTTTTGGTCTAAATAGTAAGAGTATAATACTTTATAATAAAATTATAATAAACAGCCAGATTTTTCTGTTGAAAAATTAATATAATTTTTATAAATAGTTAATATTATTTATAATTATAGCTTTTTTAGTAGCAGCTGCTATACCGTATTTAATATAGTAGATCTTTTTTATATTAAAAAATTAAGTAGTAAGATTAGTAGTTAAAAAACCAAAAAAATATAAAAAATAAGATTATATTTTTTTTTTATTTTTGCCGCCTAAAAAAAGCTTAATTAATAGATAATTAGTAATAGATTATTAATATTATTTAGTATTTCCAACGCCGTCTGGTATATATTTAGCTAGAGTTTAAAAATTTAAATAAAAAAAAACTTATAAAAATATAATTTATCTTTTAACTGGCGTACTATTAATATTTTATTAATAAAATAGTATTAAAAATATACCCGGGCTTAAACTTTTTACTGGAACTATACTTATAGTCTTTTATACTAGTCTAAAAATATTTTAAATAAAAAAAAATATTAAAAGAAAATAAAATCTTAATTAAAAAATAATAATTTATTATAGAAAATATAATAGTACAGTAGAAAATACTACAGCTACTAATTAATATTTTAATAATATTAAAAAAATATAGAATATAATTTACTGAATATATACTATAAAATAAATAAACTAAAATAAAAATAACAGTAAAACACAAGTTTTTTAATATAAAACAAAAAGTGTTAACAAAGTTAACAGATTAAAAAAGATATATAGAATTATATTTATATTATTATTATTATTATTAAAAAACTATAGTATTTCTAAACTAGAATAATATTATTTATAATATATATTTTAGATAAAATTAGTTTATAACTTTCTGTTATCTGCTATTATACTTCTAAAAATAGTTAGCTTTTATGCTGAAATAGCAGTATTATATTATTATTATACTGCTAAAAACAGCTGTATACTAAAAGAAAGCCCAATTATTATAGATAATTCTTAGAATTATAGCGGGTTACTAACGGTCTATTTATATATTTTTTATATAACAGTTGTAATATTAATAACTCCGATTCTTTTTAGTATTTAACTTTCAGAATCTTGCTAGACCTTCGGATAGTAAGAATTAGTCTTAAAATCAATAGACTGCTACTATTCTATACCTAACTGACCTTTTCCCTTTACAGGTTAATTGGAGTCTTTATACCTGACCGCCAGGTTATAGCCAGGTTAAGGAAATTTTTATACCTGACCGCGGTATAGCTAAAAAATAGATAGTTAATTATTTTAACTATTCTTAGTACTAAGATCTTTCTGCTATATCTATTTAAGCTTTGTTACAGTTAAGGTATACTTAGATTAAGTAGTTATTTATTTAACTATTTTAACTGTTATCTAAAAGTATACAGAAATAAGCTTTTTAAATTAGAAAAAATAACTAAAAAGATATTAGCATCTTTTTTATCTTTATATAGAAGAATTAATTAAAAGATCTTAATAATATTAATAAAATTTAGCTTTTTAAAAATTGTTGCTTTTATAGTAAAGAAAATATAAAGATATATAATTACAGCTTTATTCAGACTGTATATCTTAATTATAATAAATAATACCTAAGAAATTATATATTTATTACTAATTAAACTATTTAGAATAAATATATTATTTTTATTTTACTATTTTTTTTTTACTTTAGTCTAAATAGTCTATTATATTCTTCTTTCTTATCTAAAAAGCTGAATTATCTATATTATAGATAAAAATTAAAGAAAAATCTGTATAATACTATTTATATAGTTTCTCTCAGTAACTGTACTTTCTAACAACTGCCTAATTAATTACCAGATACTATATTTTTGATAAAGAGTTTTATAAAAGCCTTTTCCAGGCCTTTTTTATAAATATAAAAGTAATCTAAATAATCTAACTAATCTAGTTAATCTAATTAATCTAATTAACCTAACCAACCTTGTTCCTATTCTTCCTCTGGTCTGTGGACGTGCTCTTAAACGCGAAGACCAGTAGTATGCTATTACTCAAGTTGCCGGTCTTGCTGCCAACTCGTGCTCCATCTTCACATCCGTTCAACAGCCTGCGAAAGCTTTGCAGCTCTTGGAATTCAGCCGCGGCCTGATTCTAGGTTACTTAATTGATAATCTTACCGATCCGGATCAACTCCGTATGGATTATCCACACCTGGCTACTGAGTGTGATCAATTACGGTTTCTTCTCTCACACTCTTCTGCCTCCGACGACCCTATTGAAGTACAAAGGAGCATTGAGTTGAGGCAAAATGTCCCCTTTCAACTTGAAAAATGTCTCGCTGGTATTCGTCAACAACCGGGCTATGAGAGGTTCCTCTTAAAGCCGCCAGTTGAGGAACTTGTTGCCCAGGCTACTCATGGTCCTCTTGTAACAATCAACATGACTGATATCGGCAGTCATGCTATTTTTGTTTTAGATAACAGTATCTATTCTCTCGAGCTTCCATCTTTACTGAATTCGACCCATCTTCAAACTCTGCAGCTGATACAGCAGTTTCAGGCTGTGGGACAACGCGGCCTACACACCTCTCGCGGTTGGCGTGATCTTGAAAGTGAGATGCAGTCTCTCCCCGCACTCTTCCAGATCGCTGCCTCATACTTTGACATCGAGTCCCTTGCGTGGCTGTGGAACCACTGTGTGAAGCCCGTCTTGGACTCTCTTGCAAATCACCGACACGACGTACCGGAAGCAGATTCCTTGCCTCGCATCTGGTGGATTGGTGCCGGTGCGGCCAGCTCACTTCCGTTTCATGCGGCTGGTATTTATGATCGTCCAGGTCAGAGTACTGTTGACTATGCGATCTCCTCGTATACACCTACTATCAAAGCTCTGGCCTATTCACGATCCTGTCTGGCCAAAATCCAACCTCGGGACAGCCCAAAGTCTGTGCTTATTGTGGCGATGCCGGAAACCCCACACCAATCGTCACTTCCAGGGGTAGAGAAGGAGATTGAAGCTATTCAGCAAGCTGCTGGCTCAGCGTATACTGTTCGACTACAGCAGCACCCCGGATCTGAAGATGTACTGCAGGCAATGCAAGAGACCGATGTTATACATTTTGCCTGTCACGGGTGCTGTGATCCTGTCAACCTATCCGAGAGCCATCTTCTTCTTTATAGGAAGGATTCATCTGGTGCTTCGGTCGACCGGATTATTGTTAAACAGATCTCGAATCAAGCGATGAGCCAAGCGCGGATAGCCTTCCTATCGGCTTGCTCTACGGCCCAGGTCAGTGCCCGTAAATTTAGCGACGAATCCATTCACCTGGCCAGCGCATTTCAGGTCGCCGGGTTCGGACACGTGATCGCGTCGCTGTGGGCGGCGGATGACACGATCTGCGCGACTGTTGCAAAAGCTTTCTATCACTATCTGGCTCAAGACCCAGCGACGTCGTTCTCTGACCGCTCGGTAGCCGAAGCTCTGCATGCGGCGGTGGTGGAGGTCCGGAAGACCGAACGACACAGTATCTGGGCTTCCTTCGTGCACTTCGGCGCTTAATTCGCAGGAACAGGGCTGGTTTGGGTACGATTCTTGATTTTGGACCTCGACCAGCTTCATGCTGAGGCCTATGTTTTAAACTGTTCTAAATAGATGATGAGCAGCTTCCAAGTCATACCAAGATACGTACCAAGCAGGTTCATTGATCCGTGGAACAACGTTCAATCTTACTCAAGTCACTATTACACTTAGCTTAGCCCTCAAGCAACTCTTTGTTGTGTTGGCAAGTTCGATGGGGGTGCGCGTCGCCTATACCCAAAGTAGATAACTCTTTGTTAATCGAGTGGTCTATCCAATATTACCTCCTATCATTCTTTCCAATCAGAGAAAACAATCAGAGAAGATGGATACTTAAGGTTTGGCTAGGTTGAATTGCGTGATCATCGCCCGACTAGGATGATGGCTCACCCTTCCTTAGAGCACACTCACCCCAGGTCACCCCCGGTCGCGCGTCCGTAAAGCGGCCACACCCGCTAGCTCACCTGCACGGCACCCACCCGCCTTCTGGCCGCGTTCAAGCCACACGCCGGGAGGTTAGTAGTTGGGTGGGTGACCACCAGCGAATCCCTTCTGTTGTATGTTTTTTGTTGCTTTGGATTGTCCTTTCGTCCTGCAGTTGACGTTGACGCGGCCGTCCCGCGAATTATTCTCTGGGCCAAGTCGAACTGGAAAGCCCTCGCCAAGCCCTCTTTATCAATCCCAAGCCAGTGAAAAAAGACTTGTAAACAGTTGAACACGTAATAAAGATTTCTGATATCGGATACCTATACTCGGAGAAGGCAGATATCCTTCCCTCAAACACACCTATAGCGCCCGAAGAAAGGCAGTCATCTTCTGTAGATCTGGATCTTCGGGATAGCCTTGCTCCAGATACCGACAAATTGACTCCCCTTCCAGCACCGTGCGTGGGGTCATCCACCACACTCCCAGTCCCCGAATCTTCCCATACCAGCAGGCCAGTAGTAACAATGCCCGAGGATCCTTCGCGAGCAACAGCAATTTGAAGTTGGACGACATGGTGCTGAGAAATGTGACGAATCTCAAGATAGTCGGCAGAGGAGGCCGATCACCGAACAGCGCCCACGCAACGTCGACGGCGACGCTATGGTATACCGCTTCAGAGTCCGACGACTGTTTTCCCGTGCCCAGATCAAAGAGCCGCAGAAACGAGGCGGGAACCCCTTGAAGAGGCGCCGGGGGTGGAGCAGGCCGATTTATAATCGGATTGTTTTCCACCGGTGCTAGAGCTGCTGAGATGCTGTCTCGTGGAGGGGAGGGCATCTGGCGCCAGACTTCGTCTTTCCCTCGCGCAATCCTTAACCAGGTGGGACCGCTGACGAGATTCGGGGATAACGGCCAGGCCTCTTCTGGACTCGACGCATCGACGTGGCAGAAGACTAGTAGCCACATCAGCATGGAGGTGCTGAGCAAGGCGGCTTTGTCGTCGGATTGAGGATTCTGCGACAGTTTCCGATTTAAGCCAACCAGGGCTCGATCCCAGTGGTAGAGTTCCGCCCAGTCGGGGGTTAATCGGAAGGGTGTTGTTGTGTGGCGCTGGTACATATAGGTTACCGTCGTGATGGCATGCTTGAGGAATGGTGTCTGGAGTGCATCAGTGGGTGATTGATAAAGTATCACTTATCACTGCCTGCTTTTAAAAAAAGCAAAAGAGAAAAAAAAGAGAAAGGAAAAGAAAAGAAACGAAGGACGGAAGAGCAAGGGAATAAAGATGGTGAGCCTACCGTCTGTGCCAGTTCGACCACTTGAGTTTGATATACATCCAGCCGTTTGCCATAGCTCATGGTCGGGGCGATTTGTAGTTGGAATCGGTTCATCAGCCGATCGGTCGGGCAAAGCCAATAAGGTAATCCAATCGAGGGCGAGGGCCGAGCAAAAACATGCTCGATGACGGGTTGCAGGGGCTGCATCTTAGTCTGAGTGAAGCTAAAACTACAGGAGACACCATAAGCCTGGCATTGCCGACACATGGGTTTGACTTCGTCGCACTGCCATGTGAGCATATCAGGCGGCAAATTAGCCACTGCAGTCCAGCAGAGAAGGGACACCCACCTTCACCCGTCGAAGCTTGCAGTTTTTACAGCCCCATCTTGATCGCTGTCTAACACGAGCTGGACCCATGACCCCAAGGCCCAATCTTGTTGAACCTGTTGTTGGGAAGAGACGAGATTGTAGATGAGTGACATCAAGGCTGTTCTCAGCCTCGCGGGGCATCGCTCTGGATCCAGGCGGCCGGGGATGCATGGCGGATGCCGGATTTACCGGGTTTAAGCGCGGCGGATGGCGCTAGACCTCTTTTCGGTTACAGACCGTTTTGATTGGCTCGATGGTCAATACAGCTTCATTGTCGGGATCGATCAGATCCATGATCTAATGACGTGGAAACTACTATGTCTGTGATTATATCGAGTATAAGGGCAGGTGAAAGCCCCAAGGGTAGTCCTACAGACACTCTGCTCGTTCAGTCAGTTTCTTTTTGACCCCTAACATCAATCCACTGACCGTACTTCGGCCTACCTTGCAACACTGCGGGTCGCCATCGGGATATACATCCACGTTTGAACCTCCACCTTCAAAATGCCACCCAACCAAGCAGCTTGGCTGGTCCGTTCCAAGGCTTCTCCCTTTGAAGTCCGATCCGCTCCCTACACACGACCCCGAGAAGGGGAGATTGCTATACGGACTCACGCCGTGGCCATCAATCCCATCGATTGGACTATCCAAGGCCAGGGTACCACCCTGATGTACCAATGGCTATCTTACCCGACCATCTTGGGCACTGATGTAGCCGGAGAGGTGGTTGAGGTCGGACTGAATGTCACCACATTCCGGGTTGGTGACCGTGCTTTCGGCAAAGCATGCGGCACCGACGAAGAGATCAATTCTCACACCCAAGGGGGCTTCCAACTCTATGTCATCCTCGCGGCACATATGGCCTGTCCTATTCCCGCTCTACTATCGTATGAGCAAGCTGCAGTGCTACCCCTGGGAGTTTCTACCGCCGCATGTGGACTGTTTGAACCCGACCAGCTCAACCTCAAGCCCCCATGCGCTCGCCCTGAGCCAACCGGCCAGACTGTCATCATTTGGGGCGGGGCTAGCAGTGTCGGTACCTGCGCAATTCAACTCGCTCGGGCTGCAGGATACCGAGTTTTCGCAACCGCCTCACCTAAGAACTTCGAGCTGGTGAGACAGTTAGGCGCCAGTCGGGTGTTCGACTACCGGAGCCAGACGGTCATACCAGACATGATCGCCGCCTGTCAGGGCGAGACTGTGGCGGGAGCACTGACTGTAGGGGCCAATGGAGCAGATTGCTGTTTTGATATTCTCGCTCAATGTACCGGCCCCCGATTCATCTCCATGGCTGCCTATCCAGTGCCACAGCCGCCTCCGGCGCATCTCACGGTTCCTCGTACGGCGCTCGCATTTATGGTCGGAAATTCGAAGTACTGGTACAAATCCCGCATGCGAGGAATCAAGTACAAATACATCTTTGCCAGCACGCTATATCACAATGGGGTGGGGGCTATGGTTTTCCAGCAGTACCTGCCGCAGGCTTTGGCCGAGGGTCAGTTTCGGCCAGCGCCCGAGCCGATCGTTTATGGCAGGGGTCTGGCCGACATTCAAGGGGCAGTGGACTTTCACAAGTTGGGAGTGTCGGCGCAGAAGGTGGTTGTACTCTTGGATGACTGATATTGTTTCTGCCTCGGGCTTGTAATTTGTTTTCAAAAAAAGAAAGGAAAAAAAAAAAAAAAAAGAGGTCCGCGATCTAGCCCCATCTGAGCCATTATTTTAGCAATCACTTTTGTATTGGCACTGGCACATAAAGTTGAGAAAGTTTGGCATGATATAATTGCTCTTTCTGATCAACCGTGTTGAAGCTTCACTCATTGTTTTCCACTCACTATGCATTCTGGGTTTAACGCTGAAATGTGGACCAGGTTGGGCTACGTGTCGAAAGACTGGTTGTTAAGTGGGTGGTTGCAAAGAGTCCTAGGCTGTATAATTTCAGACTCTTCTTCGCACTTTATGCGTAACCTGGACCTGCTTTCGACTTATGCCTAGTAGACCGTGCAATGTACAGATTCTAAAACCCGAGCTGGTAGAAAACCTCGTCTGATCTAGAGAAACAGTAATGTCTGGCCGAGTGCTAGCCAGCCGTGACTGGGAATATCCACTCCGAAGAGCCCGATGGCTTTTTGATTAAACAGTGACTCGGAGTGACTTTCTGGATAGTGACTGTTGGAAAGGCAGGGGGAAAGTTGGGATGGAGAGTCGAGGAGAAACGCGAGGGGCGCCAGAGGGGATTCTATATCACATTGCAGTAAGGGAACAAGCACTAGTCGTGCATCGGCTGTCCTCGGTTCTGTCATTGAGCATCGGAGGAAATGATTTATTGGCCACTGCCGGGGACAGTCCTAGACAGTGGTGTTTGTTCCCGCGGCTCCCAGCAACGGTTCCCTCTCCCTCCCCAACTTGCTCTGTACCTCCGGTTTCTGGCCAACCATCCGCCAATACAGCGCCCAGGCCAAAGACAAGAATTGCACTCCCGCGAACACCCCATTGTTCACAACCGGGTATCCATACAGAAAATACCAACCTAAGCCCAGCGGGTCCCAGGTCTCGGCATATACTACCCGGAAGACCCACGATATCGCGACAAGACCAAACACGACGGCCTGAACCGCAAGTCCCGTTAGACTCAGCGCCGTGTCGTGTGCATGGTTTCGACTCTGTGCTGCCTGGAGGAACCAGGAAAATCCCCCGATGAAAGTGGCCATGGGGGTGAGGAGCACGGCATGATAGAAAATGAACATCTCGCGCAGGTCTTGGCGGGGCAAGCTCTTAGTCTCTGGTGTGAGACCAAATATATCGATGAGCTCCGGGATCAGCGAGACCAGGAGGGCAAGAATGTAGAGATTGCGATACGGGCCTGTGTCGGAGCCCGGCCGTCGGAGGCGAACGCATAGTATGAAGCTGATCGTCTCTGGTTTAGTGGGCGTGGTACAAGCACCCATAGCGGACACTTACAGGATAAGAAAAAGAGCCCATGTTACGAGGTCTTGAACGAAGTTTAGCCAGTCCCCAGCGCTGAAAGGATCGTGCTTGAAAGTTCCAGCAGCAGCCTCAGGGACATTGATGGAGAGGTAGACTTCTTTCGTGAGGTCTTCAGTCACGACCAGGAGATTAGCAAGCACATAGCCAAGAGATATTCCCGTGCTGCTCTTCTTGGACCAGAGAGCATGAAGCTGAGGAGCGAAGGAGAGGATCGTGAGGACGATTAGAATACTTAAGAAGGTTAGTGCTGTGGGGGCATAGTAGAGGCTAGGTAGAGAATGCGCACACTCTGAGAGGATCAGACGCCTCTGGAAAAGAATCGTCCAGTGGTTGCATCATCTTAACTGGCAAAAGTCGCTGGTTCCTGAAAGGTGGTGGGTGATGGATGATGGATGGTGGATGTTGAGAGGGGAATCGCGGCTGAGGATGCTAGTCTAGCCAGAAGCGACTAACTAGTCACTTGGCTACCTTGACAGTGTACGCTACATACAGTATATTACATGTACTGTACTGGACGGACGGACAGCCGAGTTCACTGAGCTGGTGTCCAAGGCCACGAATTCATGTACAGAACATAATTGATTGCGTTACTTGTGCGAAGTCTGCCGATATGGGATCTGCGGCACTGTTTAGAAAGCACTCTGAGTACATAGAGTTCAAATATGCTACCGCCTACGCTGAAGCTACGGAATTTCCAGGGGCAAGAGCAAGATCGGTTTTGCGAGCGACAATTTGCAGTGGGTTCCATGCCAGACCATGGTCGACACCACGTTGATCAGAGAATTCCCGCGCCAGATCCTCCAGCCACCCGTGCTCCTCGTCCTTGCCTTGTGCCAGATTAGATTGCAGGATGCCCAGCACTCCACTGAGATAATTGTGATAGTACTGACCCCGAACGGTGTCAGTCCACGAGCCCAGCGTCGCTTCGGTAACGTCGAAACCATGATTTCGAAGCGTATCTGGTAACGTTTTGACCCAGCTGTCCGTCAGTCAACAAATGCTTGTCAGGGAGCGCTCATACCAAGACACAGACACCCGGTTTCTCTTTCATGCGAGAGCAAAGCCACATACCTTGGATCGAGATGCTGTTCCTCCAGAAAATGCGAGTACACATGCTCTAAGCGTTGCATAGGCTTAGACAACACCCCGCTCGTGTCACGATCAACCTCCTCCCATTGAAGGTAGCCCCCAGGCTCTGTATGCATCTCTATCAGGGCATGAGATCTGCATTTGTTTCAACGGTAACTTCACATACTCAACAAGGCCTCAGCGAGCCGGATCAACTGGCCCGGGCAATTGTTCCGTACCACGCAGGCCCATAAACGTAGGTGCACCACGTCGAAGGCGGCGAGCATGTCTTCCGGGATCTGATCGGACATGAGGTCCAGAGTGTTCAATTCCACGTTCTGTGGAAGCGTCGAGCGGGGTGGGAAAGCATCAGACGAAACATCGTAGCCGATAATCTCGACTTTCTCCGTATCTATCGCTCGGCTAAGCTCGAGGCACCAGATGCTAGATGCGATATGACCGTCAGAGCTTCGGGAGCATTAGCGCATTAGCGGAGGGACGAGGGCATACCCTGTTCCCGTGCCGAGATCGGCGACCCTCAGACCCGGCCTCCGGGGAACCAAGGGGCTCAGAACGTGACCCGTCTGGAGTTTCCATAGTAGGTGCTGCTCGTTGAGTCTGATGGATAACCTCATCAGTGCAAGCGATTGTGGGGGAGGACGGACTCTTGCAACTCCTTGCCTCACACTCTCATGCAAAGTCCGATCTAGGATGTACCCATCAAGGGAAGTAATTGAAGCCATTGCGGTGGTACGATGCCCTGACCCACGGCCTCCCGTCAACTGACACTCTGTGAAGCCCCAAGCCGGCAGAGTCAGTTCATGGCTACTGGGTATGGTATGGATTTATAGAAATGAGAGGTGGGTACTAGTTTCGTAGTCGTCATTCGCCCGGCAAGGCACGGACCAAGTGCATCATCAGGAATTCTACTCTTCAATCCCCGCTGGCCTCCCGGCCGATCGCTCCATCGTACCCTCCATGAACCGACTTGAAGCCTGACTGCTCTTTGCTAGTATGGCCTCACAAACGATCATCGAAGTTATGATAAAAGTGGTGACGTGAAGACCGGACCCAGTCAAGACATTGCAGAAGAGGGGTGAGTCATGCAGGTCGGCTGGCATGCGCCCGGAGCGCTGTAAACCAGGAACACATACCCGGGGCTATCGGAAACACCATGAGATACAGCGTGGGCGAATCAGATGTCGAACATAGGGATGTGATGGGAAGAGAAAAACTTCTTTTGGGAGATAGTCACTTCTTCAGGCCGAACATGCAGCCGGTGGGAGTAGCTCACAAAATCCTTCATGCACGCCGCCGTTTTGGGAATGATTGATCTCAGTCACGGGTCGGAAACCACGAGTGAAGATTGGAACGCATTCTTTAACCCGCGATACAGATTGGGACTCAAGGGATAATGCAAGATACCTAGTATACTGCACGTGATGGATGCCATCTTCGAGGAATTCAAGATTGTGCCCAGAATCAATCGAGATTTCCATGCCTCCAACAAGAATGATGTCTCTCACGACTAGCCATTGAGTGACGTATGCTACATATCTCATATTGTCACATGATGAGTATATCTGTATATAACTTTCAGGGCATCTGCAGAATCGAAATAAGTGACCATGGCCCGGATGCAAACAAGCATTCTATCTGACCTGGAATCATGTTGAAGAAAATGCTGTATGCACAATCAATCGAGGACGGAGCTGTATCCGACAGGGTGCAGCGACTGGCATTTCTTGCTGCCTGCTCTCTCGGGATAGCATTTGTGCCATGCTACGTCCTTGCTCCTCTTGTTCGATCCCTCCGATCTCCCCTCCGCAAGCTCCCAGGACCGTGGTATGCTCCACTGACGACATTGCACCTTCGATACGCCTTCGCCAGGGGTACTATCTGGAAGCTTGTCGAGTCCAAGCACAGACAATATGGACCGGTCTTTCGGTACGGTCCTCGACAAATATGGATCTCGGACAAAGATGCCTTGCGAACTATTCTCCAAAAGGTGGACCTTCCCAGAATACAAATGTACGCGGAGATCTCTCGTGATGCGCACAGCCCAGGCCTGTTTGGGGAAGTGTAGGTTGACCCACACTCTCCTCTCCTCTTGCCCTCTAATGGACTTCGGCTAGGCGACCGGATCCCCATAAAACCTTCAAGCGCTTCTTATCACCCAGATTTACGGTTGCGCATGTTGACAAACAGACCCACCTGTTTGAGAAGTGTGTCGGAATCTAATTGGGTTTACATTTTAGCCTAGGCCAACCCGGGTAGGAGACAGTGGAATTCCCATCAGCACGCAGGTCTAGGACGAGAGGACTTACCCATAGGATGATTGTACGCAGGCCCCAGCTGAAGCCTGGGAGGGTAGTAGATATCCGCCGAGAGATGCGGCTTGCCGGTCTTCCAAACCAGGGTTTCACAATCCACCTCACAAGGGGGGCTAAAACTTGGAATCTGGTCGCACTCCGAGGCGAATCTGCAGATCAGTCGAACCGTCTGCGCTTCCGGGCTGGGCCCGTCACTTATCATAACCTGCTGAAATCCTGCACCGCGCATAGCATTGTCCCAAGTGGCTGGGGACCCGAACGCGTACGAACACCCGTCGTCGAACAGCCACCAGCCCTCCAGCAGACCGAAGATTTAATCCATAAAGAACAGCCGCCGGGTAATCTCATTCAGGCAGATCAGTCCGTCGGGTCGCAGCATCTGACGCGCGTTCGAGAGCGATACCTGGAGGTTACATGTGGCATGTACACAGTTGGTGGACACAATGAGGTAGAATCGCCCCAGAAGGTCAGGCTTCGGGGGCTGCTCGACATTGACGACCAGAAACTCCATCGAGTCGTGGTAGGCCTTGAACCGACGTTGGGCGGTCGCTACCATTGAGCTCGAGATGTCAGTGAAGCAATACTGGAATGGGACGCCGGAGTCGGATAACGTCTCGAGCAAGGGGACAGTAGATGCACCGGTTCCAGCGCCGAGCTCGAGGACGCGGATGGGACGGGGTGAGCCCGGGCTCATCGCCAGCTCCTTGACAAATTGGCACAACAGCTCGTTTGTAGTGCGGAACATGGGGGCGTCACCGTAAAATTCAGTCAACAGCTGCCGGTTCTTGGGGCTGCCAAACAGTGGCTGTAAAGGGTCAATGCGGCCAGAGATTAGACCAGCTAGATCTGTGCCCGTCAGATGAAGGAGCTCATGCTCGAAACGGTGCTGCGGATGCTTCTTCATTACCTCTTCAAAGAGTGAAGACGATGAGGGCTTGATGACATTCTTGTCGGAGCGAAGGTACTCGGTGCGGCTAACCGCATCGATGACCCCTGCATGCTGTAGGATCTCATACAGAGCAGGCTTGAGCTTAACGTGCCCCGACCTCACCTGGATGGAGGGCACGCCACGTCCAGGTTCCATCGTACGCAGATCACAGCCGAGCTGGGCAAAGGCATCAAGGACGTAGGCAACGGTTAGTTGAAACTGCAAGGGGTGCACGTTATCCCAATACCCAAGCCAACCATTCTGCCTCGCTAGCCCCGGAAAGCGGCTCTGTATATGATTGAAAGTGATCTGTGGTCTCCAAGCCACATGCCGAGTACTCGCTTGTGACTTGGCCTCGGGGATAATAACCCGTCTGGTTGACAGCGACTGCCCAGGACCTAGTTGAATCTGGTCACCTCCTAGGCGGGCACACAAGTCGGAAAACGTGGTGGCAGGTTGGATTTGTACTTTGACGTTGGAGCAGCAGAACTCTTTCTCGATGTCTCCCATGAACTCCTGAAAGAGCAACGAGTCAACACCCAAGTTGGTCAGCGTGGCTGCCGGCTCAGTGAGCTCAAGCGGACCCAGATGCGCCTCTAATAGTCGCTGCAATCGATCGGCTACGGAAACTCGCGCCTCGGAGTGTGTTTCAAAACAAGATGAGGTTTCCTCGCTGTGGGGAAAGCTCTCTGAGCGCGAAAGTGATGGTGTGCGAGACAGCGGCGACGGCGGAGCAACCTGGGCTCGCACACAGCGGTATAGAGTCTCCAGGGATGTCTGGACGTCAATGTTGATGGCAGCAATGTCCACATTGTATAGTTCCTTAATCTTCTGTCGCAGTTCGTTGATCCCCAACGAGTCTACACCAATGCTCTGGAGGGTGGTGATGGCTGATAGCCCATTGAGGGGGTCGTTGACCAGATCGCCCAGGATCCTATTGACCCGTGCCCCAACATCGACGGTCAGATCGGGTGGAGATGCTTCGTCCGGCACACCGGGCCCTCCGACTCGTTCCTCGTGCTCGGCCTTTGGTGACCTCGTCATGGTGGGGCTGGGGGCTGCTGCCAACATCGAGGCAAGGGCTTTCTCAAGCGATCCAGCTGGGGAATGACGGAACTCAGCCCCATAGACAGTTAGGGCCAGCTGGCCGGTTTCAAGGATGAAGGCCAGGATGTCGTACTCTATCGACGTGGCATCCTGCCTGATTGTCCGCGCCACCACCTGCCAGCTTGCATGGCAGGACTCCCAGGAGGGTTGAGGACTGGGTTGGATGCACCTCGCCCGTGCGCAGAGGTAGATTCCCATTCCTCGAGTCTGACTGGGGCTGCGGAAGAGGTTGGTATGTGCCCCAGCTACTGTAACAACCCCTTCAACACCACGGGCGGAATCAGCTCCGAGTCAGGGAGAAGGGAAGAATCTCGAGACAATTGAAGGTGAGCTCTGGCATACTGCGGGGTCCAATGCCAGCGCCGGATGAGCTTATAGACCTTCCCATAGGTCACCACTGGTGCCAACAAACGGTAGAGAACATCCCCGCCTATATCACAGGTCTGATCACTAGGCTGATTGTCTGCCATGATGGACTGATAGGTGGAATCTAGAGTGATCAAGTCGGAGGTCCGCTGCACGAGATCATCGTCGTTTTCGGCAAAGCGAATGCGCCATGTTGCACTGCGCATGTCCAGCTCCACGTAGAAGGTGAAATCCCACAAGGGCGGAGTCCTCCCATTTTGTCGTTGCATGGCCAGCTTGAGCTTCTTGCCATTGTTTTGTAGTCCGATCCAAAGCCCCCGATATAACAGCCCACGTTGGTCTCGGGCTGGGTGCCGGGCCGGAAGTAGTGGGAGCTCTCCAGGGCATGGTAGGTGGCTTCGAAGAGGAGGCGCTGCGCCGGGTCCATAGTGGCCGCCTCTCGAATCGATCGGCCGAAGAATCGGTGGTCAAAGGTGTCGACCTCGTCGAGGAAACTGCCATGGACCGTAGACAAGCGGTCTTCACTCCGCCAGTGGGCTTTGAGTGGGAACCGGGTGTTGGGAGGCTCGCTAGCCATGCACTGTCTTGCCGCCAGGAGGCTCCAGAACTCCTCAGGGCTGCGGGCCCCCGGCAGCCGGCAGCTCATCCCCACCACGGCTATTGCATGGTCAGGGTCCCCTTGGTTGGGTGGGGCTTTTGACTGTGACATCTCGATTTGGTCAATGCTGACGGAGTGTGCGGTGCTGGATCAGGGATGCCGTTCTGAAAAGGGGCTCATTCCATATCGCCGTCTCCGCCTTCTTATCCTCGCAACCCAACAGTGGAAGGGAAAGAGAACCCGGACAGTGGGTTGACGTCAGACGTGATCTGGGAATCACACCGAATGTCGGGTTGTTGAGGCACATCGCTAATTCAGACCAAAAGCAAGTTTTGATTTGGACGTTGGACCTCTTGCTCCTCATTACAGACACACAGCCAGCATCAAGTAATGATAAGGGCGCATAGGGTATAGCCCTGTAACTACCCACAACTAGTGGCTGGTCTTGCGGGAGGGAACGGATCGAGTCTTGCACGGATCCCCATGCGGCAGAAGAAACGCAGCGCCCGTGGTCGAATTACAATCAGATCTCCGTGGACGGGCTGTTGAGCATTCGGCATTTTAGATCACCCCGCGGAGGCGTGTACATGCGCTCGAGCCCCTCTTCCCATCGGGCGGGCATTTTTGCAGGCGGCCTAGTTCCACGCTTCATGTCGATCCATTCCTGAAGAAATCTCACCTAATGATGTAGCCTACTGTAAATAGACAGGCCTGCCGGCCACTACTACCCGCTGATCTGGAGAAGATCCCAGGTTTCTTCGCAGCTCCCTGTTTTCCTACCTCTCACGATATGATCTGGCGAAACGGACGGATAATGCGATGCGAGGTCCTGCACATTGGCAGCGGATAGAGGGAACCTGATATTCCCAAATACTCTATCATGTAGTAAATCAGCCCCGAAGATCCCATTTGCAATTATGCCACGATTTTCTCAGTGGCGGAGGAAGGTTGGTTGGACACGCTCGCCCATCTCGCGACCCCATAAAACCTTTCAAGCCAACCAGAGCCAACCACATGAGCTGTGACAGCACGGCCACATCCTTCTCGTGAAACTGTTCACCTCTCTGGTTCTCTCATCAATCTCAATGAGACTGTCGCATCGTGTTGCAGAGACGCGTCAAGCTCATGGGGGTGAGAACTGCTAGATTGGATGTGGTTTGAGGAGAATGTGGAGAGATGTGCACACATGACTGGGAGCTGGCAGAAGCAGCATCACAGAACGGATCAGATCCGCCATGGAAACCCGGTCTCCTACTGCTGATCTCGCTTATCTCAAAATCTCAATCCAGCCAATCCATACGAGGCCTGCCTCCTTTTCTTTTCCGGTCACGCGTCATGAGAAGATAAAATACAGCGCGAAGCTCCGACCAATGCTTGTCGATCATCGAACAATTCCGGCGTATCGGTGTTTAAATCTAACGTACGTTGGGTATCCATGCGAGGCCCTATGAAGGTCGAGACGTCAACGTCCGTGGACGCGGCGGTATCGGCGACAAGGCGTGCATGCGTCCGAGCTGTTTTAGGCCTGCATGCCTGCATGCCTGCTGAACACTTGGTGACCAAGTAAAAGGATGAATTCTGCATGATGGCCTTGCTGGCAAGCACGTTTCTAAGGCTCAGCGTCATCTTGCAGGCGGTCATGGCGCTACCCGCTGGGCTACGAAAGAAGGCTTAATTAAGGAATGCTATATCGATATTGATGAACCGACACCTGTAACCCAGAGAACACGAGCAGCAGGCTAAGGGCCAAGGTTCTGTCCCGGAACAAAACCAATAAAGAGACCTGGAAGTGTGTACCACCCCTATAGTCCCGATCTTAGCACATCTGCGCCACCAACTTGGTCAATCCAGCTTATCTCTTTGATCCCCGTACTCGACTCATTGAGGCAATCACCGAACCCCAACGAAACATTCATTCCTCGAAGTGTATTTCTTTGGCCTGGGTTCGCAGGCCAGGTTTCGTAAGGATTTGTAGCGGGACTTCAATTATGCTTTTGGGTGTTTCGATGCGCCCTTATGTTCGTCTTAACCTAAATATCACACCGGGTACGTCGGAGAGGGTCGGTGCCGATAATCAAGGCATACTGCGCGATGATTGCACGCACAGGCAGAAATCAACATTGGTATTTGGCACTGTTCGAATTTGGCACAAGTGGTGATAATTTTTTCTCAAAAGGATTCTGTCCCACATCGTCTCATCTAGATCTATAATGCTCGCAGCCCTGCGCCTCTCCACAGAAACTCGGCAATCAACGATTACTCTGCCGAAGCTCGCAGGCTCCAAACTGAGAGCGACGATCATGTTACCGGCGGTCAGCGTGGGCCAAGGGCAAATAGCACTGGCCATCTCGATCTTCTTCGTGGAGATGTCATCTGCAACCACTTCACGCCTTGGCCGAGAAGCATTCTTACGATAGGAACCCCGGGACCACAACCAAGGTCAAGAATGGAAACCGTAGGGTGCTGTAGTGGATCGAGGAGCAGGTTGGCGTATCGTTGTCGCGACGACTTCTGACTTTCTACTCACTGGAAATACCCTTCCGTGATACATGGAAAAAGGGGGGGCAGCTCCGATCAGTGATAACGGTAGTGTCCCCAGAACAATGATATTGTGGTAAAAAGCTCGGGAGCAGATGTTTGTGGATATATACCCACCGATTAAAAATGACAGATAAACCATCAGAACTAGTAGGTAATTTCAAATCAGGCCATGGGTCAAGGTGCGGGGTAAATCACACTTTCCTAGCGCCAGTAGCCGATCGTGAGCTGACCCGTGCTTGTCTCGGGCCACATCGCCTCCAATGGAATCAGCACTATCAATCTTGTGAAGGCACGAAGCGCATACAAGACAGGAGAATTATCTCGATTAAACAAGGGGCTAAGGTAGCACCCAGATCATTACCTTATGCTGGACTTCTACTCCTACCACAATTCAAGCAAGTACCACATTAGCAATTCCGAGAAATAACGCGGGGTAGAGAGCGAGCCGTTCTCCTCCAGAGACATGTATGGTTGCATCCTCGATCCACCGGGCGCAGGCGCGAGCGATTTTAATCGGTGGATAATGATGAATCATGCTCCCGCAAACGGATGTTCTCGAACTCGCAAGATTTCCGGCGCGTCATATCTATGTCTTAATCGCCTCCGCTCCAAGGGGCATGATTTTCTTTTGAAACATAGGTGTAGAGTTGATTCAAACAATGGAGAATGCTTATTATCAAAGTCCAAAAATCGGGGATTCACAGGTCGAAACAATTGCACACTCCCGAAATACAGGCGCACGTCTGGGAGCAGCAGTTTTCAGGGTATTCGAAGATGCAAGGTTGGCCGACGGCGGTGCACTTCAGGGGGGCGGCGCACTTGACGGAGATGCTGGCGGGCTGACCGGCCAGTGGAACCGAGTAGGTGGTGGGGTTGCTGGTTCCGCCCGTGCCCGACCAGACCGCGGCGTTGTTGCCGGGCTTCGGCGTCGCGGTGAAAGTGAGCTTGCTCTTGCGCAAAGCCATGAAGGTTTTGGATCCGCTGTCGAAAGTGAAGGAGTCCCCGTAAATGTCGGCCGGAAACTTGACCGTCACGGAGCATCCTTCATTGGTGATGGTCAATTGGGCGCAAGCTACGCTCGCGACCGCAGTGCCGATGAGGCCGTTGGCCGGGGTGTGGCTGCAGATGTCTCTTTTGTCAAGCACCGGCGAAGCGCTTGCTAGAGATGCGCCAAGGAGGTAGAGGAGGCTGCCTTTGAGCATTGTGATCGGGTCAGGGGGGTCGATGTGGAGCGATGGTTGAGGTCTGGATATGGTGGTGCTGGATTGAGACTAGAATACCGATGTTCAACAGCAGGATCGGCGCAGGTCTGCTCTTTTATATCCCAGATCGTCCCCAATTTTATGGCACAAGACTACTCGACAGAAAAGGGATATTGAACTGGATGAAGCCTATTGCAGACGAAGTTCAGCTCGATTCATGGAATAAGAATCCCGTGAGCGGCTGGTACGAGGTCTCCATACAGTGCCGAACTTGCTTGCGGCTCGGTCTCTATGCTTAGATCATGGTTACTGGGCTCATTGGTCGATCGAAGTTTGCTCCTGCGTTCAGATTGAGTCTAGATTAGATTTTTTATTCCCTCGCTTGGTGGTTCGACATGCGCGTGATTAAATCCAAGATTGCATGTAAACCATGTGCCACAACCCGGTGAACCATGGCAGTGGAACTTGCGGGTAGAAAGGCTTCTGCGCACCTGGTATTTCCTGCCATCCCTCTAAGAATTGGACAATCGAATAAAATTAAACAGGCGCAAAAGCTGAATGATGTTATTACCATTTTTCGGAACAATATCTAGAACAATATATTTTATACACTGAAATTCCAGGATAAGCTTTGTGACCAAAAAGTCAAGAATAATAGAAGGTGCGGATGCCGTGGAACTTACCACACCCAGTCGAGCCCGATTATCTCTCGCCTTGCCCGGCTAGATAAACATAAGGAATAGATGTGTATGTGGCGGGCGACCCATGCAATCTTCTCCAGTAATTCCCCTATCAAACCAAGCAATCCACACTTCCCTCCCCCTGATGCCTCTTGGTCCCTCTCACCTCCTCGTCTTCCACACTCCCATTTTCATCACTCCGACTAACCTGCACCTGCACATCCATCCTCTTGACAATCGCCCCCCCGTTGCCCACCAAGATGCCTTCCTCACTACTCAAACTCAAATCCACACTCCCATTTCTCCCACCCCCGGCTTCCACTCCCACATGATATTTCCGCATCTCGCGGCGCAGCATCTCGGCCGAGGTCAGTCGTGGTCGTCCCGCTACGGCGAGTTCAAACATCCCCCCGTCTCCATTTCCATCCCCATCCTGTATTCTCCCACCGTTTTTGGTGGATCGAAGGCGGAACCCTGAGGTACTCGTACTCCTACCATAGCCATAGCCGTACATGTTCTTGCCGGAGGAATATTGGTCGGTCGTCCCGAAGAGGCGCGGCCAGTAGCGACTGAGGACCGCCTTGAGACACGGGGCGCAGGCGGCGACGACGGCAACATGCACCTCGACGGCGGAACTGCAGAAGCCGATGGCGTAGGTCGCGTCGGTGACTGGGTGGGTCGGGAAGAAGCCGTTCGCCAGGAGGATGATTCTCCAGATGCCAATTGCGGTTGCTCTGTTGTTGGGCTCTTTCCTTAGTGCCTGTGATGTGCAGGTGGTAAAGGGAAAGCGGGCGAAACGTACATCAACCCCATACATAATATCACGCAGACGGCCAGTTTCTTTCGCCACGGCATGTGGAGGCGGAAGGTGATCAGTGTGGGGATCGAGACGACGAGGATATCGGTAAACAAATTGATGGCGGCGGTCGCGACATAGAAGGCCCCTTGGTTGATGCAGGTGCCGTTGGCGAGGGAGGTGTCGTAGACGTACGCGATCGGGTGGCATTGAAAGATATCGACGAACAGAACAGCGAGAAAGAGGAGGATGGTGACGCTCGTGGTGGACCAGATGAGGAGGTTGACTGACCGGGATTGTGACTCGAGGCGGCGGAGGAAGAAGAGGATCGAGAGTTTGACCATTGTGAGGCAGGGGTTATAGATGAGTTGGTTGGCGAAATTCCACTTTTCGTCCAAGCTTGGGTGTCAGTTTTGGCTTGCATTGATGCGGCAGGAGATTACTCGGAATGTTCGTACAATGAGGCCAGTTTTTATGTTGTAGTCTGCGGGAATGTCCCATTCGTGGATGCCCACATAGTTCGTTTTAATGTCTTCACCTGTCAGATAGACGTTCAAGTAGCCAATGAAGGTGGAAACAGACAATACCACGAGGTGATGGATTGGCCGACGGCCAGTATCTAGGAATGTTTAGTGGGGAGTGAACCGGCGGGAGAGATCTATCATGCAACCCACATATCCGGCCACAATGAAAAAATCATCTGCCTCGATTAGCTAAAAGATCGACGGTCCCACGAGAAAAAAAAGCTCACCAGGTCCGAACCGTGTTCCTGTCATAAACCGACTCCATGACCGCAGCACGACCGCGATCCCTCCCAGAATAGGAAAGGCGACTACGACCCCCAGAGCCACTTTCTGGTGACTGTCGTCAACCATGGGGGGTGGATAATCATCGAAGCTTTGCAAAATCTCGCGAGACACGGGGATAGGGGAACCGGGATCTTATGAACTCGGTGCAGCAGCAGGCAGGGATAAATTCCTGCATGCAGGTCCATTGCGCCGGTTTTCCAATGCTGACCAGCCCAGCAGGGATGCGTGTCTTGGTGTATCCAGATTGACTACAAGAACAATGGACTAGACAGGCTTGTTTATCTCCCTGGTATGGAAATTCCGGGCGCGGCAAACTATAGGCAATGACTGTGGCGTGCACTATTCACCCCGAAAGTGACATCTGGCCAATCACACACCAGCTCGTAAACATGCAGCATCTAGACGGCTCGACCGGAAAGCACGGCAGAGAGCGTGAGCAGGCAAATGAAACGTAATCTGGCACAGACAAATTAATTTGTTAGAGATAGGCATGGCCGTCGTCGAGTTGCTGCCTGGGGGAGTTGTTCCGAAGCTAATCGCGCCGGTAGTTTAGGGCTCGGGCGGGATTGGCCGAGGCCCGGACCATCTGGGGATTTCGTTCCACCGGACCCTCACTAACGCCAGACTATCCACAATCGCTCCTCGCTAGCGACCAAACTAGCACCGGGGAATGCAAGCATGTATCCCGTGCAATTTCCGGCAAGGACCGGCCCAGCCTCGGGTCTTCGGCCCAAGCTAAAAAACACAATGGACTGTGGATCTGCCAACTGCACGTTGTTGTTGACTGTCGACCATCATCCCACATGGGCCATCCTGCCATATGCCCCGCTAATTATAAGAGATTCTTGTCGGTGTTATTTAAATGGGCAAAACCCGGTCTGTAGCTAGGGGTTGACAGTCTTGTGTCCATCATGGTTCCTTCAACACCTTCACTACTGGCCGCACTGGGCGTATGCTCTCAGGCCCTGGCCTCTGTGGGGACAGTCCCTGTGGCTGCCACCACGGTTTCCTCCGCCAACTTAATCGCCAATGCGTCGTATTTCGTCAGTGAAACAAAGCAGCTCACCAACAGTGCCTTAACGACGCTGAGGAACTATCAGCCCATGTTCAAGTTTGCTGACGCCAACCTTACCCTGCCCGCGGTGGGCACATGTAAGGTTTACCCCGGAGATGCTGCGTGGCCCTCGACCTCCCAATGGTCGGCATTGAACCAAGCACTGGGCGGCGCTCTCATCAAGACAGTCCCCCTGGCTGCGACCTGCTACCCAGCTTGGTCGGCCTACTACAACCAAACAGCCTGTGAAGAGATTTCCGATGACTGGACTGTGTCATACCTACAGTACGTTCCCCCCATTTTTGGCAATGTCTCTGAATGTAAACGCTGACCTGAGCAGTGCTGCAGACCCCGCCTCAATCATGTGGCCTCTATTCGAAGGCCGTAGCTGTCTTCCTACTGACATCGCGACTTCCTCTACCTGTACCGTTGGTGGCTACAGCAGCTATGCCGTCAATGTCAGCACCGTGGCGCAGATCCAGCTGGCAGTCAATTTCGCTCGCAACCATGGGCTACGTTTGACAGTAAAGAACACAGGCCACGACTTCAACGGCAAGTCAACCGGTGCTGGGGCCCTGGGCATCTGGACCCACAATCTCAAGGACATTGAGGTCTATGATGAATACCATCTGGGTGACTACCATGGCCCTGCGGTGAAGCTAGGCGCTGGTGTCCAGGCCTTCGAGGTTTATGAGAAGGCTCACGAGCTCGGCTACACCGTGGTGGGTGGCGAGGGCAAGACCGTGGGTGTGGCTGGTGGATACGTGCTGGGCGGTGGCCACTCGCCCATGTCCAGTGTCTACGGACTGGCTGCTGATCAGGTTCTGGCCCTCGAGGTCGTTCTCGCCAACGGTCGCTTTGTTACTGTAACCGAGCAATCTAACCCAGACCTCTTCTGGGCACTTCGCGGCGGCGGCGGTGGTAAGCAGACACCCCCGGTTTTCTACCCATCCCTCTCTTCCACTCTCTAAACTTAACACTATCAATAGGGACCTATGGTGTCGTGACATCAGTCATCTCGCGCCTCCACCCCAAGATCCCCGTCACTGTCTCCACCTTCTCCTTCATGACTTCCACTAATGTGACTGCCGACACTTTCTGGGCGGGCGTGGACGCGTACATGAAGCGCTTCCCGACCAATGCCGACGCGGGCACGTACGCCTACTTCTGGATCATCAAGCTCGGCGAGGAGAGCTTCGAATTCCTGATGAATCCCTACTTCGCGGTGAACCACACGGTGGCCCAGTTCAATCGGCTGATGGCCCCGTGGTTCGCCGACCTGGACCGGCTGGGCATTACCTACACCCCGAACACGACCTACTACGACAACTTTTACAACGCCTGGGAAGCGGGCTTCCCGCTCGAAACCATCGGCAGTGTGACGATGATGACTGGCTCACGCCTCATCCCGCGCGAGAATTTTGTCAACGCGACCCTCTTCAACCAGACCACTGCCGCTTTCCGCTCGACGGTCTCTGCGGGCTACTCGCTGCTGGCCTTCAACCTCAAGGCCGAGCTTCCCGCCGGTTACCCGGAGAGCGCGGCCAACCCGGCCTTCCGGACCACGCTGATGCATGCTATCACCTCGACTAGCTGGGACCGCAACGCCACCAATGCGGAGATTCTGAAGACTATGGATACCTTGACGTATGATGTGCTGGGCGAGTGGCGCAAGACATGTCCGCACTCCGGGGCGTACATGTCCGAGGCAGATATCCAAGAGCCGAATTTCCAGCAGGCGTTCTACGGAAATTTGTACGCACGACTATATGCTCTTAAGCAGCGGTGGGACCCCGCGGGTCTCTTCTACGCGCCCACAGCTGTTGGGAGTGAGGATTGGGAGGTGAGAAGTTTGGATGGGTTACCAGACCAGAATGGGCGGTTGTGCCGGGTTTAAGACAATTTCACTGATAATGTTGAGGGTTCGGGGAAGTTTTGTATGATATTAGTTGTATAGTACTAATTGGAAGAGAGTATTTATTCAGATTCGTGGACTATACTCAGATCAGAGACTATCTGGCATTATCTATTCTTTGTTCGACTTCAATGCTATTGTTGTGGCGGTAGGCGTTTCTTACTAGTTCGACCATGTGATTAAGAGTGGTTACCGGGCTGCTTTGTACGTCATATTAATTCATGTCTCAGGATGTCCGCCAACCAATAGATTACAAAGCAACTGAGATATAGTTTTCTACAGCCTGTCCCTGAGCCAGCGAATCCTTCACAGCCGTTTTCCCTTGTAGGCTTGTTCTCCCTGGTACTCTTGGTAGTCTTGCCGAGTATACGCACCGAGTTGGTTGGCATAGTCTGGCTAAGTTTTGTGAGACCAGATACCGGCCATCTGCTATACAGTAGGCTGGGAAATAGATCTAATATTCCCTAATCCAGAAGGGTTGTCACATTGAAGATTGAATGTGATTAGAGTAGGTCTTCCCCCTTTAATTTAATTGGCTGGCTGAGCCGCCGAGAAGAATTAGAGTGGATTAACCTGACCGTTATACCTTAATCTTAACCTGGCTATAACCTAACAGTCAGATTAAGATACAAAAAAATTTTAACTGTACGGTTATAATTAGATTAAAATATAATTATTATTTTAACTGTTTATATCTACCGGTTAAAAAAATTAGATATAACAGATAGATTAATAACCATAGGTTAATTAATAATATATATATTTTTTTTATATAAATAATATATAAAGTATAATATATTTTTAATTATAATATAGTAATATTTTTTAGATTTAGCTTATTTATTTAATATTATAGTACAGCTTTAATTCTTCTAACTTATCTGTTTAATCTATTTAATCTGTTTAACTTAATTAATTTATTTAATTTATTTAATTTATTTAATCTACTCGACCTCTCTCTCTATAAAGCTGAGGAATGTATTATACTTTAAAAAAAATTTTTATAGAATCTAGTATAAAAAAAATAGTATCTAATATTAAATAAACTAATAAAATTATACTATTTTTTATACTGTTTAAAACAGTAATTATAATAACAGAAAAATTAAAAAAACCGGATTTTTATTTCTATCTAAATATATATAATATTTAAAAACTTAAATAAAGCTAATTTTTCTGTTTCTAATAATAATCTATTTTTTAAATTATTTTTAAAATTATTTATATTTTTATTTTTATTAATATAAAAAATAATAATTATCTTATTCTTCTTTTACTTTTTAGGTATAAAGATAATTAAATCCAGATTAAAATTATTAAAAATATTCTAGTACTTTTTATTAATAATAAAATAATTAATATATATCTAAAATATTACTACTTTAATTATATTAGTATAGAGACAGCTCCGGCGATAGTAATAAATATTTTAAAAATTATTAAATAAATATTTAATATTAATATTATTAATAGTAACTGAAAGAAAATCTCTAGCTATTTAATAAAAAATAAAAAACTAATTATAGTAAAACTTTTAGTAAATAAAAATATTAATATATTTTATAATATCTAGAATAATATTAATTTAATTAAAGATATTTTTATAAGTTATATATTTTTAATATCTAAATATATCTTAAGTTTTTTAAATATTTTAGCTGCTAATAAAAATCTTTAATATTTAAAAATATTATAAAAGGTTTTATCTAGGCCTAATAGTAATCTAAAAATAGTTAATAATATATTAATAACCAGATTCTAATTATAATAAAAATAAAATATCTTTTTAAAAATAGTTTAATATTTATAATATTAGTTAATATTATTATCCAGCCAGATATTTTTTTTAAACTTTTTAAGCTTTAATATTAGATTTAGAATAATTATAATTATATAAATATAGTCTTCTATCTAATAGATATAATAATAATATTTTTAAAACTTTTAATATATATTCTGCAAGTTTTTAAGAATCTTTTTTTTTAAAATATCTGTTTTTTTACTAGTCGGTTGATTAAATAATTCAGATAATTAAAAAAATTATTATAAATATTATAAATTTTATAAACAATAGGCCTACTGTTTTTAAATAAATAG